TGCAGTACTGTTCCAACAGAGTCACAGCAACGAACTGTTATTATTCTGGAAGCACTGACAGTGCAGGATACGTGAGTCTGACACAACTGACTTACAGAAGTGCACTCACTACCCTAACTTGTTGAAACGATTCCTCATCTCATTCGCGAACTTCATGATAAGTAGCATTTCATCTCTGTAAGGATTACAGATACCTCATTTACCAAATGTTTTTGCATATTATGCAGATGCACTATGCCAAGTCGAAAACTAGCCAGAAAACAATGGTTGGAATTTCTTGGAATATCACACTTAAACTGAGTTTCAATTTGCACTTGCGTCACGCCTTAAGATATGTCAAAGAATTTGTGGCGAAATAGTGATTTCGCTTACCGAACAAGCTGAGAAGCTGAAACTTTGCAAAGATATTCTGTATTCACGTGTGGCATATAACTTTGCAAGGATATTCTACTTTCATTTGTGGTCTATAACTTCGCAAGGATATTCTATATTCAGCTTGAAGGCTAAATTTCCTACACACGGACATGAAAAACACACAATTTTATGGCAACCTCAAAAGCGAGTGCATTTTACGGATTTCGTAGCCCTTTTTTTCCCGAAATCCTGTCTATTATCAAATATACATTTTTCGATGGCTGACCAACGGGAACTATTCCCGCTTCTTCATGCAAATTGATAGTCATACACGCTGAAGTTCACGCGACTTCATGATGCAACACTACCGTCCTAGTCGACGCATTTTTCCCTGCATGCAAAAAAAAGGCCAGAGCGCGGCCAATATAAGGACGTAGGAACCATACATGCTGTTAACGATCTGACTACTTCGAGTTTAGTGAAAAATCACATGATCACACCGGTAAGATCGATGCGTCGTAGACTAAGTTAACAGTTTGGTGAAGCGTCTTCTGACTGTGAAAATAATTATTATTACTACCTCAAATTTTGTCATATCCTCATCTTTCAGGAAAACATCGTGCTTTTGAATGTCAATGTAAATGATGACCAGTCAACAACAGTGGGCTTTGTTGTTACAAAAAGTCAACGACGCAGTATGCTTGGTGACCAGACAATCATGGATTCCACCAAAGTTAAATATATTCTGTCGGCGCAGCTGGCATCTTTATCCCGAGTTCTGGGAGGTGTCCGAATCGAGCGAGTCGAGACGGCTATGCTTCGGCGGGAGGGCATCGGCGCTTCACGAGATAACACACGCCTTATAATCATCCTCTCCATTGTTGCAATATTTCTCAGTGTTACGTATATTATTGCTGCTGTTCGAGTCTGCAGGTTAGCCTTATGAAACAACAAATGAATGATGCTTATCACTGCTCGATCAAAGCTAAGTTTGCCTGTTTTTGGTACATTTCACTAAGCTTCAAAGGGCCTGGCATAGCTGCGCCCATCCCAGCAGTACCACTAACATGAGATTCCCACACCGATTGTCCAAGTGTTCCTGGTAATTACAGGTCACCAAAGGCAACAAATCTTTGCACCGACTATCAGATCATATGACCGAATCTCTGCCGCACCCTACACAATTTTGATAATAGCGTTTGCACTTGTCCAGTGAACTTTAATCCATCGAAAATCGACGTCATACGGCCTTTTTAATGATTATAATGTAGGACCCTTTAGTACTTGAACCGTAACTTGATACGATGCCTAGAGACAGAATTTGTGCAAACACTTCCGAACTAAATTCGGTAGGCTCACCTTGTACGAAGAGGCCAGAATTCAGATTACCAAATATAGCAAAAAAAAAAAACCGAGAAACTGAGAAATTCTTCAAAAAAAGAAAAGAAAAAAAAAAACACTGCGATTGCAATCAGTTCCAGAACTGAGCAATGAAGATACCATCCCAATCCTTCAGGTCCCCTTTCTCCCCGTGACCTCACCCGGCTCCTCGCTGTAAATGAGATCTGCTCGATGGTTACTGATAAGTTATTCACGTAAGTAGTTCTCTGCTTACCAAATGAATCATCCAAAACAAGTCATCTAATAAATGATCATTATGATGCCACCCATGTTATCAGCAGAATTTTTTTCATTTCTGTTGAATTCATTCTGAATGCGTCTATTCGAATTTACCGCATCACCAACAGACACATACGCAATGCATAGAAACATACACATATATTCAAGCCCAAGAGCCTTTTATA